GATCAATTCTTTTCATTGATAAATTTCTGAACTTTTTTTCCTCCAAGGATCAACATGGCATTTAGGTTTTTTCTCCTTTTGCAGCTATTTATTCTCTCATCTCTGTGTTTGTTTATTTATATGAATGTTTATAGACTATAAACTGCACTGAGGGCATCATTGCCCTTGGATTCATCAGTGTCTAATCCAGTATCTCAAACCCTAGCAGGCCCTAAGTGACTAGTTGAATGTAGATAAGCACACAGCATATATTTTGAGCACAGTGAGTTTCCTCTGTGGTTGGCAGATAGGTTGGTTGGGACTCTTAAAAGAAATTAATGTCGAAGAAGTTATGTGATCATTAGATATATTTTGTTTTCTATGCCAATATCTTGGTGATGTAATTCTTTTGTATTTTGACTGTATGAATGTCAGTAGCCTGGTTGTGATATATTATTACAGCTTTGTAAGATGTTCTTATGGGAGAAAACCAGATAAAAGATACATAGGGTCCTTCTGTGTGTGCTTTTTTTTTTTTTTTGCAAGAGCATATGAATCTATAATTACAGTGAACCATTTTAAAAAATTGTGATGGGTGAATAATTTTTTAAAAATTATTTATAAAAAAAGTTTAGAAATAAGCTGTCCATAGTCACTACAGCATGAGTTCGATCCCCTGCCAGAGAGGTGACCCACATGGCGTGGCAGACCTTTCATGACCAGCTCACTGCTCCCCTCAGCAGTGTACTTTGTCAATCTGCCTGTTCTGCTTCCCACTCTGTCTCTGACGACTCCTCTCATCCCCTGCACCACTTGCCTGTACCCCAGCTCTGTATTCATAAATAAATAAATCTTAAAAAAAAAAAGGCTATAACCAAACAATAATATTCTGGACTTTATAATACTGACTTATAATAGGTAGCATATATATTGTTTTGACTTTAATAGAGATCAAATACCAGTGACTTTAAGGTAGAATAGAAGGTTTACATTTTCACACATACCTGTATAAGCTGTTGAGGGTTTATAAGGCAGCTTTGTTTCCAAATGGCATCCAAGAGCCAAAGTTCCTCTGACGGTGATTTGCTCTTCCTTTCAACAGCGTCCACAAGCACAAACTTGAATCTGATTCCCTAATGTATAGATAGCCTTAGTCCTTGCCCATGGAAAGGGTGACACTGTGAAAAGAAAATAGCTTTCTTTTCAGTTAGTGACTGACAATTTGCATCTGTTACTCCCAGTCACATCCCATTGGCTGGTATTTAGTTATAGGGCCACACACAGTTGGCAGCAACAAAACCTGGGAAATCTAGTCTTGCCCAGTAATCTCAGGGCACTTTATCAATGAAAAGGAAGAAAGGGAACACGGCAGTGGAATCAGGTAGCTGACACTGCCCCAGTGTTTTCCCTGCAGTGCATGTTCAGTGTTTTTTTTTTTTTGTGATACTGACTTCTCTTATTATCTCACTGCACTTATGTAGGAATTTTTATGTAGGAAGCTAGATATATTTGTTGGATCATTATAGCAATTAAATTTGGTTTACAACTGTTTGAATGCTCATCCGCCCTTCTTCAGAGGCAGTGTATGATTTTTTTTCTTTTCTGTAAGATTCTGGAACCTCACATAAGACCTGGCACTAATAGGTACTCACTGTGTATCTAATGGCCATGAAATATGTGTTTGATTGAAATATACATTTATTGACATACGTGTTTCTAATAGTTGACTTACTTGTGCTTAAATTCTTTCATGATTTCTGTTTTGTTACAGTATTGCAAAATTCATGAATGATAGTTCTGATAGAATTTTATAGCTGTGGATAACAGTGTATCCTATCATTGTGATTGAATAGTTAGTGTTTTATAATATATTTGTTAGATATAAGAAATTATAGTTTGTCAGATAGCATGTTTAACAATATAAAAAAAGCTGTATCTTAACCTAATTTTGTTATATCTTAGGAAATAATATTTATTTTTGAGTTCAGCATTTCCTAAAATGAGAGTTCTTTTTTCCTTGATGGTGATTATTTCTGTTCATGTTTCAGTTATCATACTTTGTATCTTCTTCACATTTCCTTTTAAGGATAAATAATCATGAGTCAGTAATTTAAAAAACTGAATCAACATCAGATTTATTCACTTAGTTCATTTCAGTAAATTTTATTTATCTGTGTTTTTCTGAATTTATTTGAAAGACCTGAGGGATGCAGTTATAAATTTTTGGAGCAGAAGGGGATATGCTGTTATTTTCCCTTATTTTTTCTGGTGGAGAGAAATGTCTTTTTGCCAACAGGAAAATACAATTCCACTACGATTCTTGGGTCACAGATCAGAAGCTTGGATCAGCAAAAAGAAATGAACTTTAGAAGAATTTTGGTCCAGTATTTATGGGCCAGTTTAAACTATAATGTAGGCAATGGCAGACTGCCTCGTTTCTCCCTATAAGGAAAGGCAATATAGGAGCAATATTTGCCAGAGAAAAGAGAAGTGGAGGCAGGGGGTGGTTATGTGTGTGATGGAGGCAGGGTGGGGGAGCTTCTTAATAAAATGTTAGTTTGTCTGACATCAGCAGTTTCTTAGCCCTCTTGGGAAAGTTTGAAGCAGAAAACAAGCAGAAGAATAAAGTTGTGCTAAAAGAGAATCAGAAGTAAGTTTTAAAATATGTCCAGGGAGGTTAACCTTTACTTCTCTTGGTAATGAAGATGCATAGCTGTGAAGAAAATCTATGAAAAGCACTTGCATTTTACATTGGAAGGCATCTGTGATTTTTTTATATTTGATTTCTTTATTTGTATATATTTTGCATCAGGTGTAGTCCCCTGAAATAAAGAATTTCCACCACCAGTTCACCTGTGCACCACCACCTTAGCTCCCTGTGCTCTTCCTCTTTGCCCCCCACTCCCCGCAGGATGTCTCTGATTTATAGGTATCTGAATATTTTTGTTTAGTTTGTTGTATTTTTTTAATTGTTATTTTCCCCGAGTCCTTTATTTGGTTTCCCTAAATTCCCTCCATAAGTGTAAACCGTTTGATATTTTTCTTCCTCTTTCTGACTTTTCACTGAGCATGATCATTCTAACTTCCATCTACGTTGCTGCGGATGGCATTAGTTTATCTCTTTTTTTCTTGCTGAATAGTATTCCATTTTGTACATGTACCACATCTCCTTGATCCAGTCATCTATTTTTGGGCATTTGGGTTGTTTCCAAGTCTTACCTATTATAAATGGTGCTGCAATAAACAGAGGAGTGCATGTATCCTTTTGAATTCATGTTTTTTGTGTCCTTTGGGTAGGTCCCTAGGAGTGGAATTGCTTGGTGTAAGATGGTATCTCATTGTGGCTTTCAGTTGCATTTCCCTTATTATGAGGGATGTTGAAAAGTTTTTCATATGTCTGTTGGCCCTTTGTATTTCATCTTTGGAGAAGTGTCGTTTGAGTTCTTCTGCCCATTCTCCCCCCCGCCCCCCGAATTATTTACCTTGTTTTTCTTGACTGGTGTGAGTTCTTTGTATACCTTTGTGGTTATTTTTGCTGCAGATGAAACTTTCTAATTGTATTTTTCTTTGTTTGCAATCCTGGAACATAACAGTGGTGGATATAGGGTAGAGGATAATGGAGTATAAGCAGAAGGAGGTGAATGGAAATTTTTAAAATTTTGCAATAAATTGCAAAGCCATCTCAAAGCAAATAATACTTGGCTTCAGGTTGTACTTTATTATAATTTTGAATTTCTTGTCATATGTCTCAGATTTCTCAACTATACCATGAAAATTGTTTTGAAAATTAAAATT